CACGAAAGCAACCCTTCCCTTAGGCAGGTAGACCTCAAGTGCTTTGCCATAATCAAACAAACCAAAGCAAATTCTATGTTCCAAGTATGTACTTGTATAAGAAGCCAGTTCCTTAAAATGTCCTCCAGAAGACATTCTTCACCTTAGGCAGTAGACCTCATATGTTTTTCCATAATTAAATAACCAAACCAATCAAGTTAACCCTTTCCGACACGCTACCTTTTAAAGTAGAAGTTTTGATTAAAAAAAAAAAAAAAAAAAAAAAAAAAAAAAAAAAAAAAAAAAAAAAGGTAGGCAGTCTAATTAGGCCTAGAGGAGTACACAAGTAAAATTTTGTGAAGATAGCACTTATCGTTTTAATTCTGTGGGTTGTGGGTGTGCCAAAGTGACACACTGATCGAATAGAGCTTCGAAAAGAGTGCTGAAACGCGCATTGTTGTCAATCAAGTGACCTATGAGATGCGGAACAAAGCATACAGACTCTCAGTTATCCTAGATTATCGGTGAGCGCGGTCTGGGCACACCTAGGTTTCGCCGTTTGATTTTAGGCAAGATTTCAAGGTAAAAATTTAAAACTAATATAGAATAAGGAGATTAGCATACATCCAAAAAAATAACATAGAAATTTCTTTTCAAAGAATTCCTTTTATACCCCCCCAAAAAATCTGGAAGATTTCTTTGAAAAATGAGGATTTTAAAAAACTAAACATGGCTAAAATATATGGACTGGTTTGTGTTGAGCTGCCATCTACTATAAAAAAAGAAGGTTCAGAGTAACCTATAGTAACCTATAAATCCTTTTTCATTCAATTTTTCTGTGCGTACAGAAGGAAATTTTTAGGTGTGTCCAGACCGGACACACTTTGCCGCAAAGGGTTAAATAAGATGTATATATACTGAAATAATATTTGTCCTTTAAGTACTAGCATGTTCCATTTAAAAAATAATAGTAACAAAATATGTGGAAAAGTATTATTTATAGTTTCTCTAAGCGAATACAATGTTTCGTCCATAATTAAAATTGAATTTATTAAATCGATAATGTCCACTTGAAATACATATTACGAAAATGAGATAATCAGGATGCTAAATCCAGATATGCTTTTAGATACTTTAATTTTTTATCGTGACAGTAATTTATCAAAACTCATATTATTATTAGAAACAATTACAGTAAAATGATTACTATACCTTACTTCTGTATCTCACATACGTTAAAATAAACTATGAAATATGTATTGTTACACGTATTGTGTGTATTAAAATTTTATATGTATGTTTCTAATTTTCTAATTATATTCATTTTCGAACATGAAATTTCTGTCATAGAATTTCCTTCAAATTTACCACATTCGAAAACCACTAAAAAATCATTTAATACGGATAAAATTAAAACTAGGTTTTCTTTTTTCAGGTGCTATGTAAAATCACGTTTTTTATTACTTCCTTTTATTGCAATCGCAAAACATTTCACGTATCATATTTTAACGAAAATATCCAGTTTGAACCCTCTCAAATCCATTCGAACGATGTTTTTGCGTGACAGCTGTACGTACAAACTGAATAAAATACTCTTTTTCGCAAAACGGATTGTAAACTGGATTCAGAAGAGATATTTTCGTGACGTCTGTACATAAGTACGTACGTAAAACGAGTAGCCTCAGAAAGTTGAAATTTTATATATGGGATTGCTATAACATGTAGTTGTGCACCTCCCTTTTTGGTTACAGGATGTTTCAACAATTCCGTTATAGACTTTCAGGACAGGTAGAGTACACCTAGACGATGGAAAATCACACAGCAATATATGGTCGGAAACGCTTTCCTGGAGCAGTAGTGACGACACAAAATACAAGAAATGATGGACACGAACAGAATGAGAAAACATGTTTATTATGCGCAGTGCAGGTAAAATGCTCAGAATGTTAAATTTTTGCATACATTAGCAGCCTTGATGTGCGTCTCCACCTAAATGCCACGTATCCTTAACATTGGATCGGATCTGATGGTCCGGTGCATTGGCCAGCAAAATCGCTACACCTCACTTGCATTGACTATTTTCTCTTGGAGTATGTCAAGACACTGGTGTACGAAAACTCCCGTTAACTGTGCTAAGAACTTGTTGCGCGCATCGTGGCAGCTGCTGGGGAAGTCCGGGACATGCTAGGTATTTTGCAGAATATCAAATCGTCCATGCGCCGGAGATGTGAGGCCTGCATCACGTAATTTAAGTCGTAAAATTTCTTTTCTTTCTTTCTTTGATGACAATTATCGTCGGTTTTTGCTTTCATTTCTTAGTTAGTTTCTGCTGTACTGAGCATACATAATAAACACGTTTCCTAACCCTGTTCGTGTCTTTTCTTGTGTTTTTGTCATCACCACCGCGCCAGGAAATGTTTCCGACCATGCATTGCTATGCGATTTCTGATCGCCCAGGTATACTCTATCTCTCCTGAAAGTTTGTAACCGACTTGCTGAAACACTCTGTATATTTATATTCCCATTTTGTTACTCGATTCTGTGAAATCAATTTTTTATTCTTATATGTTGGTAAAATTGTGCATTTTTCCTTTAAAAGTGATTGAATTATATTATTCTCATATTCCTGTTGACGTTGTTATGACTTTAGTTAATCTGCATGCTGTATTTGTAGAATTATCCACAATTTAAAAGTTGTTTAAGTGTAACGAAGCCACCACTTGTTTACATTTGAAACTCTTAGTAGAATACTGAATTAAGTCAGTTCCTGAACCAACTTCAGTGTCTTTTTGCCAAGTAGGACCAAAAGGAAACTTTCAGTTTTGTGCACCGGACAACCTGTTTTCTTGTCCGCTGGCCGAATTGCTTGTTTCTGCATAGAAACTCTAATTTGAATTGTAACAAATTATTTTTAACTATATTTTTTGCTTTATATTTTCTGTATTTTACAATTTTTAATGGAGATGCTTTGAGTTTTTATGCATATTTGTCTTGCCGCGAAAGGAGAACTGAATTAATTCAGTGAGAAATATATCTTTAATGAAATTGGAAGAAATAAATTTAGATGAAATGCAACAAAATTGTGCATAATTTGATAGGCTGATTTGAATAGAAACTTCACATCAACAATGAACTAAAAATTGCACTAGTGATTCACATAACTATATACAAGGAATAAAACTTAAAACATCTACTTTGCAGAATGTCTCAGAAATAGAAATCCAAATAGAAATCCAATGCCGAAGCAAAAGTAAAAACCTCAAAGGGAAGTAGCTCAAATAAAAACAGAACTGCCTTTCAGCAAATACGTGAACAGTTCAGAAAAAAATGAAACTGTGAATTCAAATTATGATATTTATAATATGATGTTAGATTATTAGTCCAAAGGGGCTTTGTCCCTGAAGGACTATTTGTTTTCGTTTTGCGATTTTGCGTTGAATCACTATAAATGTCCGTTTCACTTTTCAAACTGTTGCCACCGAATGTTAGAGTCTTGCATTATACATGAAGAAATTAAATAATGAAAAATCTGCATAAATGTATGTCTATTTCTCACATTGTGATAAAACAACGGTACATAGAGCCATCGAATTTTGAATGACGTAATCCTCTTACGAATATGGGCATGTGGAAGACCAGATTTGAAATTTGAAATTTGTTTCATTACCGATTTCATATTTGTAAAACTTGAAAGAATTTTTGAGTAACAAATTCAACGATTTAAAAGCGAGCAATGGCAACACTCTACGGCAGGAAAAAAACCTTTTTATCTCCAACGGGCGCGGAACTGTATCGGAAATTCTAAAGATATGCTCATTTTAAAATTATTTTGCGACATTGCTACTGAACTGAATTTTATGGTTTAAGTGCAAAGAACATGATATTTAATAAATAAAGGTAACACACAAAACGTTTAAAAAAAAACCCTTTGGACGTAATTTAAAATCTGAAACCTTTCAAATTTTTTTGGGGGGGGGCTTGTTATATATTGAATTTTAGGAGTATTTAAGTTATTTGTTCACTGCAAGTTACACCAGTTTCAATAAAACTCTGATTATCGAGTTCCCAGTTACATGTATCTCCAGTCCTAGAGATTTTAACTTATTGATTCTCAGTATCCATGAATCCAATCATCTTGCTCACTGTCCTTTTCCCTTACGTACATACGTCAAGAAAAAAATCTGTTCTGAATCCCTTTAAGTCCATTCTACACACATTTAACAGTCCTTTATTCTACCCATAGGTGCAGATGTCACTCAAAACCATCGTTCAAATGGTATCGAAGACAGCTGAAATGGATATTTTCCTTGAAATACGATACCCGAAATTTTTCGCGATTGCAATACTTCTTTTACTTCTACAAGAAAGTAAAACAGGCATTTACTTAACTATCATTTGAAACGGATATTATCTGAAATTGATATGTTTGAAAATGAACAAATGAAAAAAAGTTTCGCTGGTTAATTTTGTAGGAAAACAATTTCTATCTTAAATGAATAAAAATAGTATCTTGAACTGAAAAATCTTTGTCCATAAAAAATTATAATAAGCGAATAATCAAATTTCGCTTATTTGCGTACCTTAACTATGCTTTGGGCTTACCCAGAAAATGACAACCTACTATCCGACTAGTTCGGATAACTGAATGAGTAATAGTTCTAGTTACTGAGAACATTCAGAACTTTAGTACAAAAGCTACCTCGGTAACCAAAATTTGAAAAAAGCAATTTTAAACTTGAGCAAAGAAGCAACTCAGCTTTCAGATAATGTTTCAGATGTCGCAACAGAGAAAATTTTGCATTTGATTCTTGCATAGAGGGGCTAAAATTTCACTTCCTTATGTTGAAATCTTTGCGATGAACGGGATTTAGTTCTCTTTTTGACGCCCTTCCAAATTTTGCGTTTTGGTTCTATCGCAGTCGGAAAAAGGTTTCTCTCGACCTTCATACGTTCATGACAACCTTGACAATTCCCTTCCCAAATTGGAATAATGAATAAAAATAACGCCCAGCCCCTGAATTTATTACTTTTTTGACGAAACATCCAGTTTGATGTTCATAGGTGTGGCGAGGACAAATCATCGCTATATAAAGGAATATCCATTGGCGATGTCAGTTATATCTCAGAAGATATACTATCTTGATATTTCATCATGAACAAGCTGGTGAGTGCTATTACGTTTATTAGTTTATTTCTCACGTGGCTCTACTTTCATTAAGAGAAATTATTTTCATTTAGTATGATTCAAGTTATATAAATTAATCATTTCTCTCGCAATAATGTTAATAAATATTGTCCTCTCTTTCGGCTAAAAATGCAGCATAAAAAGGCTATATATGATCCACAAGAAAAGAAGAAAAATAATTTAACTTTTTTATCTAAAATTAGCACTATTATTATTTGTTAATATGTAAGTAATTATTCTGTAGTCATTAGTCATTCAATCAAAATTTTTCCCTCTTTTTTTTTCCCTCTCTCTTTTTTCGGCATATTCAGTTGGAAATCTGTGAAATGAATTGATAAATGCAGATCACAAATGAGAAGTAAATTTAACCAGATGGATAAAAACACATTTCTAACTTAAAAAATATCTTGTTGCAAAGTTTCAAATTAGGCAAAAAAAGCTACTTTAATTTGCAGATATTTTAAAAATAACTCTAGCAGTTTTGAGGGAGATCAGATATAAATCCCTTTCTTTGGGAGTAAAAAAATGTTTTTGCAAAGGTAAAAGAAGGGAAAACCCTTTTTTTTTATGAAAACAACTTTTTTATTAATCAAAATATACGAGAATCTAAAATTACTTTGGCGTCTAATTTCAAGTTTTGCATTAGTATGTTTCTTGCATAATTCTCATTAGTTCTCTCTCGACATGAAAGATTGACTCTTAGAAATATGTATTCATTTGGGTTCTGGTAGTATTAAATCAAGCAGATTTTCATTATAAATTATTAAATAAAAAATTAAAAGAAGTTTTTATAAAATAAGCTATCATTTAAAGTAATCAATGATCCACAATAAAAGGAAAAAAATAATTTAACTTTCTATCTAAAGAAAGGAAAAAACAATGACTAGAAAGAATCTCTACAAATGAGCAGTTATTTACTCAAGTGAATGATTTACCAATCGAAGGATCAGGAAAAATCGAGAATTAGAAAATGCGGAATTGATTTATTTTCGAAAGATCTGAAACTTACGCTAGTAGGTTTCAAAGCAATTGACCTTTGGAAGTTACCTAAGAAGACAAAGACAATAAACAACTTTTGAAGAAAGGAATATACCAGTAGAACTAATCCCGTAGCGGAATTTGCGTTTGCACGCGAAATTCCATTCTAAGCTTTACGAAATTCTAAATTATGAAAGAATGAGTATTAGCCCATACTGCATCAATTCTCGTACAATAAATCGACCTAATCCATGTCAAGATCGTCTTAATTTTCATTCACATGCTTATCAATACATCTGCTCTCATTTTCTGTTAAAAGATCAGCTTAGCTTTCGTGACTTCTGACAGCTTTATTACAATTACAGCATGTCCTTTGGCAAGTAATTTAAAAATAGTTTTCAGACGCAATAGATCCATAATATTTCTTAAAAATATTTTTGAACTTTAACGTTTTAACTTTTTCTGTGTTTGAAATTTTCCATTTTGTTTTTCTATATTTTATCAGTATTGATAATCTTAACTGATCTTTGACGTCTAGTTCACTTCCCTTAGAGATTCTGAGTTATTGATGAAATGAGTATAATTTATTAGATTCATTAATTCGTGAATTTTTGATGACGTCATTTGCATTTTGAATTGTTGGAGCTACCCAAGAATGAAAAGGTATTAATTTTGGTTGACTGATTTATAATGATTGGTTAAGTTTGCTTTCCATGCGCTTCGTGTACCAGCAGTCAGCGAAATGTAAATCTTGCAGTAACAGCTAGAAATAAATGTATTAACCAAAACGCAATATAACAAAATTTTATTTTTTAAATTTCTAAATTTATTTATCTTCAAATTTTATACTTTTTTATCTTAAAATTTTGTAAATTTGTTTTCCATTTTTGATAAATGTATGTTGCCATACTCACAGCTAAGAAATTAAAATCTTTTGACTCGTTTGTGCAACGTAATTTACTTTAGATAAACTATATTGCAACTCTAGGTGCACTATTTAAGATATTTTTAGTTTTTTTTTCTCCTAAAAATTTGCCAAAGGACTACTTAAAGAAATAAACTTTAATCCTTAACCACAATAATCACAGGAATTTTGCACTTTACCGTAATTTTGTCTCAGGCGCTGTTGATATAAATTGTATAAAAATTGAATGTTTTGTTGTATACAATCGCTCAGAAGTTAAAAAATTTTAATTAATTTATCTCTATGCATGCAATATGACTGATTAAATAATAAATATAATAATATAAATTAATAAACAGTGAAAGTATAACATATTAACTTATCTTTATTTAATAAATTAAATAATTTATGTTAATTTATCTCCAACTATGCAATTTTACTACGTAATAAATATATTAAGGGGTTTGAATATAAGTATCAAAACTCCAACTCGAACTAAAACTAAAGTGACCAAATCTCACAGAGGTCAGGGCGGGACAAAACAGTTTCAGCGACTGGAAATAAATTGAAGAACAGCCATTTTGCTTGAAGCATAATCTTAGCATTTCAAACAACACGCTTAGCTCGGGCTCGGTTTTTCCAGTTGTTCACATACAGTGAAGCGAGCTGAACAGACCCCACAGTTTTAAGTGATTTCGGTCTTCTATAAAAGTGTTTTGCTTTAGAGAATATGATTGTCTGTTATGTTTAGTGCCTATGATTATTTATGCTCTCAGATACACTGTCCACTTTTAGAGCTTTGTCTGTATGGATTATAGAAATATATACTGTCTTGCTACAGTAATCCCCACTTAATTTAATGATACATATTCAAATGAAACAGGATTGCTTGGGTTATAGGAAAAAAATCGCTCCATTTCGCTAAGTGTCAATTTTGTACTTGGCGATGATTTAATTTCTCGGGTATTTCCTATCTTTTACATTTCTTATCTATACAAGTATTTCATAATTCATAATTTCATATATGTAATCAGATAATTATTCTTCATAAAAAATTTCTTTTCGCAATTAGATTTTCCTTCACATGTTTAAATTCATTACATACATTACATTTTACATTGTATTTGCATTGCCTATTTTAAAAAAGTAATCCATTTAAAATGCTTCAATTAATTTAATTTCACGGCCAATTTTACAAACAGGAAACACACTTGGAGAAGACTAGAATATTTTCAGAAAGTAATCCATTTAAAAGTATTCAGCTGACTTAATTTGACTGTCCATTTTACAAATGCAGCCGGAATAGACTCAAAATTTTTCACTAACCAAACTTTTGTGGATCTAATGAGTTCGTTAAAACTTATATCTCTGGCAAGCACGAATATTTAATAACTGACGATGTGTCTTATGCCTAAAATAATCTTCATGACTGTATTGAGCGGCACTAACAAAATTCATCTCGACTTATCCAAAACTGTAATAACAAATCTAGAAACATTTACAGAATGCGGAACATTTTCTGAGACATAGCTTGAAAATGGGCATTCCATTGAAATGAGGGAATGTTTGGTACAATTTACTACATGTGGTCACTTTAATTGTAACATACTGATAAACAGTAAACCTTAACAAGGGTTGGTGAACCTTAACAAGGGTTAATAAATTAGACTAGAAAATAACAGTATCAAAGCCATTTTATTGATACGTATGACATACTTCTCTTTGTGTCTTATCTTTGCCAATGACTTGCTATTACTAAGAAGTTCTAGATGTTCATTTATATGCATGCAGTTTTGTTATGGATAATAAATTAATTCGAAATTATGAAAAGTGAAAAATGTTTTTTTAAATACACTGTGCTCGTGTCGTTACGTTTATAGTATAATTTTGCGGATTTAAAATTGTTGTAAAACAGATTTTTATCAATGGCTTTTCAGGTTTTCCTCGTTGTTGTTCTGGCCATGGTTGCCGTTGCTTCTGCTCAGTTGATCACCAGCGGAGGAGTTAAGGACTGGGCTGGAAATTACTACGATTTCACTACCGGCCAAGTGGCCAGCTCTGCTACTGGACGAGTCTACAACACTGGTGTTCTTCCCATTCCATATGCCGCACATCATGCAGTGCTTCTCTAAAGATGAAGGTAACTTAGTATACAATTTTTTTTTCTTCTTTTCTTAAGTGCAATAGCCAGATACTAGGCTGAATGAAATCTTACACCTAGTGTTGTATACAGGTTTTATAATTTTTGCTATCACCTCTCTTTTTTCCTACCTTTAGGCAAGTTTCCTCAGACATCAAGCAGTTTAAATCAGCGTAAAATTTTATGTAACTATTCATTGTAATAATATTTTAGAATAAAAATTTTGATTGGGATAAAATTTGAAATCTAAATTTAATAAATAATAAATTTAAAAGTACAGTTTTAAAACTATCAATATTTAAAAAGATCAGGATGAAATGAGTAATTAAAACTCACGAAACTTCACTCATTTCCTCAGTATAATTTGTCAAAAGAATGTTTGATTAATTTTTCAAATATTTTACACATTTCCAGAATCTTTTTAAATCGCAATGAGTACATATGAGTATTTCAAGAATTAACGCAGGTAAACATTATACATAAAACGCTAAACATTTTCCATAAGAAAAAAGAATGTGGAACTCGGGGACTCCGCGAGGTAATACTACTGATCCGGATCTATTAATATTGTAACAATTGTATGTTTTTTTAATGAACAATATAAAATTAGAAGTCAATAAAATTCCCTTTACCAAGACTTTGAGTTTAAAGTTTAGTAAATTTTTAGGTTAAGATTAGAAAGATTCAAATGATGAAATAAGCGCTATGATTTGAGAATTCAAATGTCCGATCCTTAATTTTTATTAATTTTTTTACTTTATTTCAGATTTTCATTATATTGATATCCTTTTTGATGAGGAAAATAGCAATGATTAACTAACAACAATAACTAAATTCATAGAAATTACAAATGCATTAAAAAAACTAAATACTAGAGAAATATACCATTAAGAAATTGAGTTGTACTTATAATAAAATCGAGATGAAGAAGGAGATGACGGAAGGTATAAAAAAGCTTTCTTTAAATCAAATAATACGGGAAGTGGGGGAAACTTTGAAGCAAAGGCTCGAAGTTAAAATAGAGTTTCTTTTAAAACCATGCAATTATTCATCATCAAAAATTTAACTCCACACACTGTGAAAATAAGTAAATAAAATAAAAAGTAACCAAATAAAAATGTCTAGTGAAGTAAGTTTTTACAATTTTGTAAAATATAGATACTTAAGACATTTTCGGTTTACATAAACATGCATATATATCAGGGAGGTGGCCAAACTTGATGTCAGTAAAAGCCGCGTGTTGGAAGTCAGGAAAGTTCCAGAGCCGTAACTAGAGTTTTCAAAAGCCACAAATATATATTTTCATCACTAAAAGTGGGTAACAGGTTTGATCACAGTTTTGAAATGCTCATGAAACTATCAGGACTACTATTTCTTTTTATCTGTTTTGCAAACATGTACGTGACCTGAGTAGAACAATGAGTTTAATGGAAACTATGTCCTTTTGATTTATAGAAGAGATGAAAAAGAAAGGAAGGGTTTAATTACCCTTTCTTCTCTACAATTTACAGATGCTCCCGAACTTCGGGATACAAAGACCAGCACTTGTGGTCTGAACGTAAGAAAATAAGAACTACAGCCTTATTAAATTTAAGCAAGAGCTAAACTCAAATATTTTACATAGACTAGTAACACTAAGAATGACCTTTTAGATTCTTTACGTATGAAGTATGCAGAATGCGGGAAAACTGCAATACGTCTTCACTATCAAGAGGACTAAACCCCTAGCCTTAAAGACGGACAGCAACTGACTTGGAACACGTGTGAAGTAAAGTGGCGAGAAGTCTCACTTCCTCTTTCTCTTTAACTCTTCTTGGGGAAAAGCCACAACTTATATACTCGTACTTAAGAGTTTGCAAGCACAATTTGCATAAATAAAACTAACGCGTTTATTCTTGGGGGAAGTGGGAAATAAGAGAGGACAGTAAAGTTTTTAAATAAAATAAACGTTAGTAAAACTTAAGATCCTTGTGATTTTTTTTAAATCTGCGACTCAAATCGTTTTTCTGCTGCCTCAAAATTATGCCGTTATTCCCTCGCATACTCGTTCCACGGCAAGCAAGCTGTATATCTGTTGTCTTCAAATTTTACGGATTCTCGAAATTTTCTAAAAATATCATCGTCTTCTAAGCTGTGATTGTCATCAGAGTTTTTAGAAATTCCCAAAACTTCAAACTGCCTTAATTTTTTTTAAATCGGATGTCGATTCAACTTCTAAATTATCTTTAATTTATATCAAATTCTCTATGATAATCAACGTTTCTGATGCTTTACATGCGTTTTCTAATCCACTCACAGACCACCCCAATTTAGCTTTACCTCTACTACTGATTCTGAAATTTGGCGGACCCTTCCTGTAAAGCACCCACAAGCCATTTACAAAGAATTTACAAGCAAATCTTACTTTGAAAGAATTTCTTTACAAAATTGTTTGATAGATCCAGTGCACTATTTTATTTTAAATACCATTATTAAATATCTTAACTAACAGGAAACGTGATAAAATAATTGTGTTTGCACATTGATCAGTTTAAGTTTACTTATAACTTTCTGAGTAGAAAATATATAAATTATTTCTTTTCTTTTGAATACTGAGTAGTTTAATTCTACAATATTTCATACATACATTTTATTTGCAAAAACGCAACAAAGGAAGAACACGAACAGGGTGAAAAATCTTTATTATTACGCTTAGTACAACAGAACTCAAGAAATGAGAACAAAAATAGACAACGATCATTATCAAAGAAGGTGTTCGAAATTACGACCCCGGACCCTGATGCAGGCCTCACATCTCTGGCACATGGATACCAGACATGTCTTGGACTTTCTCAGCAGCTGCCACGATGCGTACAACAAGTTCCTCAGCACTTCTCACGGGATTTCGTACACCAAATATCTTGACGTGCCCCCAAAGGAAGTAGTCAATGCAAGCCTGGCGATCTTGCTGGTCAATGCACCGGACCTGCCATGTTGAAATTACGTTTCTTTGATGGCTATCGTCTGTTTTTGTTCTTATTTCTTGGTTTCCGCTGCACTAAGCATGATAAACATACATTTTCACCCTGTTCGTGAGTCCTTCCTTTCTTGTGCTTAGTGTTATCAACTACCGCTCAATGAAAGTGTTTCCGACCATGCAACATTTGCTATGTGTTTTTCCATCTTTAGGTGTACTCTATCTCTCCTGAAAGTTTGTAACCGATGTTTTGAAACACCCTTTACGCTTAGTACGCTTAGTATATATCCTTGCCATATGTTTTTGTGTTCTGCATGCTAATTTTTGTCACTGTATTTTTCACTTTTCTATTTTGTTTATTGCTTTTTTACTTTCTTAAATTATAAACTGAGACGCATGTAGAAGTTCCTTATTAAATATATGAAAAGATAAAATTCATTGCAAGTACTCGATTTTTCTATCAGAGTATTATTTACTTTTTTATAACCCGGATTTAGTTCGTACAGCACTGCCTCGCGTTACAAAGAGGGAACACGAGAATTAAGCTAACCCTTATTTGATATCTAAATGTATTAAGAATATATCAAAAATATCCGCTATGAAGACTGATTAAGGAAGCTCGCTTCCTAATAACTGAACAGAATATTTTCGAGAGAAAAAAAAAAAAAAAAAAAAAAAAAGCTATCATCTGAGATTTAGTCACATTTCCTGCCAACGTAATCTTCAGTTAGTCTCTTTACTCTCGAGAGTGTGAGGAATCACTAAACTGATCAAGACAACAGTCTTTCAGTTTCATCAACGTAAATCTTTCAGGCATCTTAAACGCTTGCATATATTAAGAGCCAATTCATTTCTTCCGAAACGAGAATAATCCAGAAAGGATTATAAAGAATTATACTCACCAGTGCTGAGATCTTACCTATTTTTCGCTAGCCTACGTTGTATGAGATCAAGTAGATTTACACCTTTTTCTAGAATAGGAAGAAAGAAGCTGCGAAATGAGATCTCGCCTAATTTCTGTTTACGGATATTAGAATCTTTTCTTCTTAGCTTTGCTGAAGAATTGCTGATGAACATGCGTCTTCCCAAACCACTCTTGCATTTAGCATTTAATATCCTTTGATCCGCATATATTCAGCCGTAAATCTTTGCGTTGCAACGAGAAGCGAAATCCCATATAGAGGACTGATTTAAAAATAAGAAACAAGAAGTATTTTTCTACTTATCTAGCAGAATGTTGCCAAATTATTTCGGATATTAACACTCTTGGGGAAAATGTGGTTTTGAAATACCAGTTGACTAAACACTAGCCAATTGTTTCATTAATTGCCTTTTCTTTCCTTTACAGTTTGGATCGTTTCCTATCCGGAAAGATTAGTTGGATGAAACTTTTCGTGGTTTTCACTTTTATGTAGCATGAATATGAACATATTTTCCTTTAGTAAACTTCAATAAAAGACTTTATAAAAGAACTTATTTTGGAATTGCAGCTAATAGTTCGCGAAAAGCTAGTTTTAAAATATAAAAATAAATTTGAATATAGAGAATATTTCCCTAAAAGTTAATCTACACAAGGTAAAGTGTGAAAGGTTACAAAGTGAAACCATCTTATATGAAACATTTTTACTTTTTCTTATAATGTACTTTTAAAAATGAATGACCACCTTTTAAAAATATAAGCACTTTTTTTTTTCACAGTACATCAAAAATTCAGTGTCATCTTTTATGTGAGGCCCTCTTATTTGCAAACCACCTACAAAAACGTAAGGTCATCTTCTGTCGGAAGCTGTCTTATAAAAAAGCCTTTGTGTGTGTGCGTAACGCACCTTCAAAAATATTTATTCAAAACTATTTTATTTATTTATTTATTGCGGTACACTTTCAAAAATACAATGTCGTCTTTTATATAAGGTCGCCTTATCGGAAAGGAAGCCCCTTTTTTCTTCCCTGTAAAATGCAAGATAGTTTTATATATGAGGGCGTCTTACATGAAAATCCTTTATTTTTTCTTACAAAGCATTTCGAAAAATGCAAGTTTGTGTTTTATGTGAGGCATCGTATTCGCAATTACATTCGGATCAACAGAGTAATCAATAAAACATTACTATTTTAAGGACGGCGTCCCCAGTTTAGTACATAACAGGACTGTAAGAGCAAAACTATTGTAATGTAAGCATATTACTATCCAGTTTGTATGTACTTGATAAAAATAATATTGTAAAGCAGTTTAAAATGATATTGAAAATCCAGTCAATGTGTAGATGAATTACAAGTTCACTTTGACTATTTCAGTAAAAGTATTGTAAATATGAATTCAAATAATGTTTAAATGTATACATAACTGTCATGATTTTATGTAACTGTCACATGTAACTTGTACAAGACAATGTTTGTAATTAACATATCTATGCTTATACACAGGCCTTGTATGCCCATGTAATATTTATACTTATAATTTTTACACGGAAGAAATATTCCCTTCTGCCAGAATGACTATTAACACTGTAAAACTTTTACAACAAAGTCAGGTCTGTGGTTATCTCAGGCGGCACTCAGTCAATGTTAATGTTAGAATGGAATTACAAGGAATTGGTCAATACATCTCTAGTGTAATTATTCCAATCAATCACTGCGTTGCGTTTCGTGTTTGTCGCCCAACCGGGATACGCCCAACCGGGTACGGTTAGCGACGTCTACTTCCGTACGGAAGGGACCGGGTTTGAATCCTGGAGAAGGCATGGATGTTGGTAAATGTATAGTGTCTGTGCGGCATGGGGGCACTCTAAATATTTTCCAAGCCTCTCGAGAGGTTGATGATAGGGGAAGAGGAGTAGGAGACCCTCGGATCCTTCCCCAATTTGGTTGCTCTTCATCAAAATTGGGGGAGGTGGAACTGTCCCCTGCATGGTGTTCAAGGCTCTTGCCAACAACAGGCGCAATCTTACACTTCTTGCCGCAATGAATTTCATGAGCTTGTCCTGATGTTACTGTAAGACAATCGAGATAAGTCACAGCATAACACATTTGTGTTTGAATCCCTTTTTATTCGCATCAAGAACGAAGGCTGCTTGGCAATTTCGTCTTTGAGTCACATTTTAATTTCATGAAGGGATTATTCGAATATAGTTTTCCATGTGAAGAAGATCTCTTTCTTGAAGAAACAGAAAACACACCTGTTGATCTCTTGGCGAATCCCAAGGTCCGGATTCTATAATCCACAGTATAACTGTTCCCTAGATAGATAAGATGCTAAATTTTCAGTCCTACTGTAAACTTAGATTTTATAATTTTATGGCTATTTTTAATCTTCAGCTAAAATTACTAAAATTTAATTTTTTTTAGTAAATAATACTAATGTTTTCTAATCTTTTAAATCTAATGAACTTATGTTAAATTATATACTCTTGAAATTAATATTATAAATGTTTAAATCACGAGCACCATCTAAGCTAATAATAATTCTCTCTTTTTGTTTTTCAGATGGCAACTTCCATTAAAAAATTCTTCAAACACCTGGATGTTCGAAAAAGTCAAAAATAGTTTCAACCTTACAGTCACAGTAATTTCAGTGTGTTCTTATGATTAGATAAATCTGATGCATTTTTTTAAAACACTGCAAAACATTGCTGTAAAATTTTAAAAAAATAAACTTTTTTAGAAAGCATTTTGCACTCAGTAATGTATTTTAATGAACACAAACAACGAGCTCATAAAAATGGAAGAGTTAATAAATACCAGTATTCTATTCTAGTCGCATCATATCATTACATCCTTCATATTCAGTCCTAAACTTCAACGTATTGTCTGAAGAAGTGATGTTATGGTCACTAGATCAAAAATAAACAGAAACACGAAGAAAATATAATTACGGAACACTCACCTAAAATGCTTTATATTATAAAAATTATATGAATTCGAATTTTATCCTCGATATGGAAACAATTTTCCGGCCTGGATGCTAAATATTTGCTCCAGAACATACGAGCTTAGGGACAAAGGCGCTTCGTCGAAAACTGTGACTTTCATGGCTTTCTTGAATAAAGCTAAATACCTTGTTTATATATATATATTTACACAGAAAAGGAAAGTACAAATTAGCTAATGCTTTAAAGCACATTTGATACTACAGTTCCAAGGGTAAAAAAGTTAGACCAATTATAAACAAGGATAAAATATTAAAGCAATAAAAGTTAACGCGAAAAAAAACCTACTGTAATAATTACAACAATATATACTTCAAAAAGAAAAATGGAATTAGTGAAGACTATAAAATTTTTATAAAATGTACGCAAACAAAAACATTTTAAAGGCAAAGAAATTATATACAAAGAATTGTAAAAAATGGTAAATTAGCCCAATTCGAGGTTTTACATGGACTTATCAGGAAAAAAGCGTAAGAAAACTCCAATTTAGATAATTTCCTTGGCGCGTTTCGTCAAACGAAAGCAATTGAGACAGAAAGCGGAATTCATTAATAAATTTATAAGCCACAAGTTAATAAGAATAACCACACGAGCCAATATTTAGGACTGTAAGTTTAGGATATTTATCATGATAGAACTTGAATGTACTTTGCATTCCAAGTTTTCTTGAACATTCGTTCAGGTTTTCATAAAAGTATTTATGCATTTGCACTCATCATGTTATTTTCTATAAGAAGTATAATTACTTCCCAACCCAGAGGCAGAGCAGAGCAAATGTAAATATTTTAAACTGTGATTCGTCTGCAAATGTAGCATTGTTTTAATATGATAAATCTTTGCTTACCATAGATCTTGCAAATGACAGGCATAGTTTCTTGTTTTCTTAGCGACGGATTCCCCTCTTGCTGGTCGTCCACTGTATCCATGTGCTGCAGTGATTCTTCTGATTGTTTCAGAATTAATTTTTATTGCAGACTGTTCTTCTGAATCCACTGTAAGTTTCACAGTATTAATATTTGGGTGTTGTTTGATTTTCACTGAATAAACCACGACTTCTCTGTATTAGTTTGGAATGTTATTCAGACTTCAGTGCATTTTGAACAGTCCCACGCAATTTCCATCGTTTTGTAACATAAAAGATAGATAAAACTTTACCATCAAGGATGATTTTCTGGGTATTTCCAATACTTTAACCCTCTTTAAAACGATGAATAATTAAATTTCTAACATAATATGTTGTTCATTTATAGCGTCGTTCGTGTTAATCTCAAATATGAAACTATTAATATAGTTTGCTAGACAATAATTTACAAATACAGACGATAATTCTTGTGATATATTTTCATTTAAAACAAAAATTTATGACAAGAAATTTCATTTGCGGAATCATCTCAACAAACGTTTCGAGTGTCTAAATTATTACGTGAGTTACCGACTAATATGTTTTGAATACATTATTTTATTACAATTAATATTTTAATTAAATTTATTTTATAATAAGCAAGGTTTACAATACAGAAAAATTACTCTGAAAGAAAAAAAATCTGGAATCTATGTCTTGTTATTTACTACAAGATCTATGCAAATAAACTTGAAAAATACAAGTGTCGCAAAAGAAATGTGAGCCACTGTATATCAGTTAGATTCATTATTAAAAATTAATAAAAATATTCATTATTAAAAAACGTTTGCATTGCTTTTAACCCTTTCCGGCACGCTACCTTTTAAAATATGAGTTTTGAGGAAAAAAAAAAAAAAAAAAGGTAGGCAGTCTAATTAGGCTTAAAGGAGTACACAAGTAAAATTTTGTGAAGATAGCACTTATCGTTTTAATTCTGTGTGTGTGCCCAAAGTGGGCACATTGAATGAATAGAGCTTTGAAAAGAGTGCTGAAACGAACATTGTTGTCAATGAACTGACCTATGAGATGCGGAGAAACAAAGAATACAGACTCTCAATTGTTCTAGATTATCGGTGAGCCCGGTCTGGGCACACCTAGGGTTCGCCGTTTGATTTTAGGCAAGATTTCAAGGTAAAAATTTAAAGCTAATGTAGAATAAGGAGATTAGCATACAGCCAAAAATATAACATAGAAATTTCTTTTCAAACAATTCCTTTTATACCCTAAAAAAATCTGGAAGATTTGTTTGAAAAATGAGGATCTTAAAGAACTAAACATGGCTAAAATATATGGACTGGTTTGTGTTGAGTTGCCATCTACTATAAATACAGAAGGTTCAGTGTAACCTATAGTAACCTATAAATCCTTTTTCATTCAATTTTTCTGTGCGTACAGAAGGAAGTTTTTAGGTATGTCCAGACCGGACACACTGCGCTTCAAAGGGTTAAATCACAGAGTTTGTATAGTAATATTGTTATGATTTGAAATATAAATTTAATATCTTATGTCAAAGACAATTTATAAATACTTATAAATATTTATCATAAAGTAATTAACCATTTACAGTATTAACTAGAAATACACCTGTTTAAAAAATCTTTATTTAGAACATTTTATTCAGTTTAAAGAATTATAAATTTCGGTTACCACTTTGTAAAACTCAATAACTATTATAAATAATTAATCCAGATTAACTCGCCATTCAGACAAAAGCATCTCAATCTCAATCTGATGAACTAAACTAAACGTTCTTCCGCGTTCTTTTCCCCTCTTTTTATCAGATGCTAATTTTTTTCCTTCTGGAACAAAGGAATGTCTTGAGGGTAAATAATAGCTAGGAAAAGAACAACAAAAAAATATTAATTTTTAACGAAATGATAAAAAAAACTAGGGAAAAGACATTCAAATATTCAAATCCCGAAAACGATTTAGCAAGATTGTTACATATTCTGATTGAAACACAAAACGAGAAAAATCAGCGTCTCCCCGCCGAGACATGGACCTTTCAGTTATTAACTATTTTGTAGTGTATTCTATTACTTCTAGTAAAAGTGATTCAGAAAAAAGAAACTATTTTGTAGTGTATTCTATTACTTCTAGTAAAAGTGATTCAGAAAAAAGATATTTTTTATATCACTGAAACTAAGAAATCATCTGTAATATTCCAAAATATTCTACTCACTATGCGCGATGTTCTGACGGATTTTCATAATAATAACAGGCATGTTAACGATGATCTAAATATCTCTGTTAAACATTCGAAGTTTTCGAGTGTAATTTTGCTTATAACATACAGAGTTCTTAACCAAACTATGAAGAAATTCAGAAAACACTTAACAACGTCCTTAATTTCAAATTTGAAATCAAAATAATTAATATTCGATTAGCTATGAGCATTTAAAGAACATAATTTTTAACTGCACCTGTTAAATGAATCAAATTTTTTTCTTTCATAAAAAATTTCAGGTAAGTAACACGTAAATTCAGAAAGAAATCGATGATACAGTAAGCGATATTGCAATTACTTGTAGAAATAGAAGGATAATAAGAGCTTTTCCAGAAATGACCATTTCATTAATTTATTGGATATCCTTTCTTGCGAGTAATGGGGGAAAATGTTTTGAGTATAACATACGTGCTCGAGGTGAACAAACTTTAAGTTAAGAAAATCACAATTTAAAGAAAATCCCTTATCATTCTTTGCTAATGAGGAAGATCCGTTAAATCTTATCGTATTCGGATTCAGGAAAAATTTTAAAGTGATCTCACCTTTATTAAAAATGGTATAGCCTAGACCGTATTAATTTTCATAACATAAAACTTCGAGCACCAAGAGCTGAAATATTTGTCATTTATGAATCATTTTATTTATTATTTTATAATCAGAGATTAGCAGATGATTTGCTCTTCTACTCTTAATGCTATTTTCTGAGATTAATTTAAGAAATAATACGTTTTATACGAATTTCAGTAAAAATTTGCAGTAAAATTTTAATAAACTTTAATTTGCTTATAGCTATTTTCTAAGCTCAACTGTTAATAGTTTGTACATAATTATCTCAATCCTTTATATGTTCTCTTGTGGTAAAAACGGTTAACATGCTCAACAAATGTATACGCACCTTGCAGTTGCTAATCAATAACAACACACTCTATAAATTAAAGTATAATTACTATGAAGTGTTAATTTTTTACAGTCATTCTTGTCCGTTCAGACACTGTTAAATTTATCCACAGTTCGAGCAAACAAAATCTGATTTTTTTTTCTTTTTGATTTGTTGCAAATGCAAAAATTATGTAGTACGTGATATTACGCATGGCATTTTCTGTTCGGCTTCATATTAATTAATTAACCAAACCTACAATTATTTGTTCCACATTGTTGATGGCTTTCTGGTTTTCGAACAGAAATGTTACTAATTGCAGTATTTAGACATGGCTGAATTAGTCTACATGGAACCATTAATTGCTTTTTTCTTTAACCAAAGTTAAAGCGTAGTCATTGAAGCATTGCTGAGTTATTCCAAAGCACAAATAACATTTAAAATTAGAAAACTAAAGTGTATCTTTCGATCGCTGTTACGAATAAAACTATAAAATAAAAAAAACTTGCACTTCACGTGGATTCTATTGTTCGTTTGTAAAAATGGTTGTCATCTAAGCAATTCAAATCAGTAACAGAAAAAATGGCTAGCAAAAGAAAGAATGGCACGAAAGTTACAGTCTATCTACAATACAAAAATACATTTTCTGTATTGCATCAAATGATGCATAAGAGTAAGTTCTACTACCCCAAGCTTTTAAACATTCAGAAAATAGATGGAAGCATGTTATGGGATA